CTCCTCGTCCACTTTATCACAGTAGCAGTGTGAACTTCCAGTCATGGCTGAATGTTACAAGGATTATTCCCTGGTCTCCTAAAGAGGCCACAGAAACCTCGAAGGCCTGGGTTAATGTGGCATAGAGCAAGTAGCTGTGATGTTCTTTTTTTTTTCTTTTTGAAACAGTCTCACTTTGTTGCCCAGGCTGGAGTGCAGTGGTGTGCTCTCGGCTTACTGCAGCCTCTGCCTCCTGGGTTCAAGTCATTTTCCTGCCTCAGCCCCCTGAAGTAGCTCGAATTACAGGCACCCACCACCACGCCTGGTTAATTTTTGTATTTTTAGTAGAGACAGGGTTTCACCATGTTGGCCAGGCTGGTCTCAAACTCCTGACCTCAGGTAATCCACCCACTACAGCCTCCCAAAGAGCTGGATTACAGGTATGACCTGCTGTGCACAGCCATAAGTAGCTGTGTCATACAAATGAGGACTGGATTTTGAGCTGAAGTTCAAACTTTCAAACCTCGAATTCCATCAGTTTGTAGCCATGACACTTTGGCAAGTCATTTATCCTCTCCCAAAGCATTTCCTATCAGTGAAATGGGAGATGAGAAAACCCATGTCACAGAAACATGTCATAGGAGTACGAGGATGAGGAACATAGATGTTTCATGAATACATATCAAAATATCACCTCCGCCCCACCTCCCCCACTCCCCCTCCACCCCCGCCATTCCTCCCACCTCAACTGCTCCCAAAGCTGTTAGGAGAAAATATCAGAAGGGATGAATTCTGGAAAGTATAAATTAAAGCCAGCTCAGGGGAGACTGAGCAGAATGCTAGGTCTAGGGCTTTTGCCTTCGGTAAGGGCTTACTTTAATTGAGGAGCAAATTGAAACCGAGAGAGTGTTTAAGCAGCTTGCCCGCAATCACAGAGCTAGTTCATGGCAGAGCTAGGATTAGTTTGTCAGTCTCTGTGCTCTTTCAGCCACATCAAGATGAACAACGTAACTCAGGAAGCGAGACTCAAGAGGCTAAAGCAGATGTGGGGACGGGGCGGGATCCAGCACACGATGGGGCTTGGCCTTCCCAAGACATGTCCAGAGAGTGGCTGAAGCTCTGGAAAGGCCACCAGGAAAACCGCCAGAGTTCCACACAGTCGTTTCCTTCCACCCAGTACTGGGTTGTGTGTGCAGAAACAGAGGAAGTGGCTACACATGGTGGTTGTGGGAACGCCCAGGAGTCGGGAGGGTCCAGAGTGTGAAGAAGTAAACTAAGTCAGATCCAAGCCTGACTCAAAGCAAGAAGAATTCTGCAGAACTGCAAGTTAGGTTGCTCATGATTACACAAAAATGCCCAGTTTGCTCCGAGACTGGGCAGGCCCCACCTCCTTCTCATCTGCAATTATAGCTCTTCAAGGTGAGGGACTCGTCCTACAGCTGTGGAAGATTCCAGGCAAATCAATGCACTGTCTCTGGATGTCAGGTGAGCTCCACAAACATAACTCTTCAGCCTTGGCCCATTAATCAGGTCTGATGTCTTAATTTACTTTGGAAATAAACATGTCACTTACAATGTGATCCATCACAAACATTCCTACTTCCCAAATGCCAGGGGAGTTACCTCTGGAGAACAGAGAAGAATTTTAAGCCTTTTGCTAAACAAAGGCATTCTCCCTTTGTGTAACCAGACACAGGAGATAGAACCTGAGTGTGCTTTTACCATCTTCTGTGCTGGAGATGCCAATCATTTTCTCCCTGTCACCACCACACCTGCCCCTCACAGCCCTGCAGCAGAGGTCCCATGGTTCTAGTGGCCCTGCCCAAGGAAAACCTGGGGTCAACCCATGAAGCATACAGCTGCATACTTGGGAAGAGGCAGCCACCATCAGTTAATTAAAGGTGGAAGACAGAGGAATGGAAGCTGACTTTGTAGGGAGCCATTTTTGACCTGCTCTCCTGACAGCCCAGAATCAATTAGCTGTACGGCAGCAGCAAGAGGTCCCACTGCCTCAGGGAGAGATGGTGACAGAGAGACAATAAGTGAGCTGGTTTCACATACTTTCCTGTTGTCTGCTTGAGGCCAGCTGTACTTTCTGCTCTGGTCTTGTGAGATGTCCCCGGAGCCTTAGAATAAATCCTCTTCACTTCTGTGAGCTTGAGGGATTTCTATCTCTTGCAACCACTTTTCTTGATTATGATACACACTGGGCTCAATTTTAGGTGGTGGGGAGAGGCAAGAATGATGAACGACAAGGGGTCACTTTATCCTTTTGAAATAGCCTCCCATGTATTTTGTTCCCTTGTACTCACATCTACACTTATCCGATGTGTGTTTTACTTGTTGGATAGTTTAAGCCATTAACTGTTAGCTAATTATTCAGAGTTTGTTAATCTTTCCTAACTAGGCTGAAAACAACCTGATGTCAAGCACCCCCTCATAGGCTGGGTGTTGCAGCACTATGCCTGTAATCCCAACACTTCGGGAGGCCAAGGTGGCAGGATTGCTTGAGCCCAGGAGTTTCTAGACCAGCCTGGGCAACATGGTGAAACCCTGTCTCTACAAAAAACACAAAGAGTTAGCTGGACATGACGACACGCACCTATAGTTCTAGCTCCTAAGGAGGCTGAGGTGGGAGGATTGCTTGAGGCTGGGAGGTCAAGGCTGCAGTGAGCCAAGATTGTACCACTGCACTCTAGCCTGGGTGAGACAGCGAGACAGACTGTCAAAAAAAAAAAGTAATAATGAGAACCACATCATATATATTTTCTGCAACCCCTAACAGTGCCAGATATAATTTAACAAATAATCATATTACCAAAGGATGTAAATATAGGCTCATTGAGTCAACACGTTTATTTAATAAATGCAAATTTCATTTATTCCCTCCTTCATCCATCTATTTATCGAGTCCCTGGCTCACTTGGAGTTGGAGAGAAGCTAGAATTGTTCGAGCTTTCTGTGCTCACCCAAATGTAAGTGGATGTCAGAGTCTAGGAAATAGGAACACAGAGAAAAGTACACATGTGAGGCTTCTAGGAGTAAAGTCAACAGCATTGAGCGACTAGAATTATCATAGACTGGAAAGAGAAGCTCATTAAGGATCGGAACAAATTTTAGTAGATTCCCAAGAGGATGGGCATGGCGAGGTCACCAGGAGGGTGGGGCTGGCCTTAGGAATATTGCAAAGTGCATTTTCCTCCTTCTCAAGAAATTTTTCTCTTGAAAAACAAACAATAGTTTCTAAATACATATTTTTCTTGGATACAATATATGCAATAGATGTTTTTGCATCTGCCCGTAGTATCCAATAGTTTCCTGTCTGTAATTCTTTTTAAGTACTGACACATTTAATATGTCCATACAGTCTGGCTTAGGTTACACTGGCTGAAGTGCATTACTGTTTGTGTGTGTGTGTGTGTGTGTGTGTGTGTGTATGAGAGAGAGAGAGAGAGAGAGAGAGAGAGAGAGAGAGAGAGAGAGAGAGAGAGAGAGGCACTTGCCTGATAGGGACTTTCAAACTGGTCAATAAAATAAAAAGCATTTACTACCGCCAGCCTTAACAAATACCAGTCCCTGTCACTTTCTCTAAGTCTAGGTTTACAATGGTGTTTTATTTATGCTTTTGTAGGACTGCCACATTTAGCAGAATGTCTTGAAAGGTATATTCTCAAGCTACTTTTTAAAAAGTATGAAATTTATTAACTAAGAATGAGCTTTTCTCTCTTTCTCCCTCATTTTTTGTGTTTCTTTTAAACTGTTATGGTTCATTTTTATTATTTTAAGGTTCGTAACAGCCAAGAAGTTCTAACTCTAAATTACTTTATTCATTCAATAACTAGGCGAGACACATATCTTCTATTTAGCTAAAGACTGGGAATATTTTTTTTTTTTTGGAATGTGCTAAGATTTCAAGCCAATTTTTGTATAATCTCCAGGACTCCTTGTAAGTGCGTAAAACTAGATTTGTCTGCAAATGACTAGTGCAGAAAGAGAAAAATGGATCCTCTTGTTCATTTTCTCCTGAAAATATTAATCAAGCCTATATATTAAGTACCCATCTGTCCAAGACAATGTCTGAGAAGAATAAAGCACGATCTCTGAGGGCAAGAAACTCATGAGCAGAGGCATTCCTGCCAGGATGAAAACAGTATGTTTCTTGGGAAAATTCAAAAATTAATGTTGCATGTCATAGTAGGAGACAGCTTAGAAATTTTGATCTTGGCTTCAGGGAAACTTTGCTCATTAGTGAGTACTGACTATTGGAAGTAGTGTGAAGCTGGAGTCAGGGGTTCCCTGGAGAAGGGCAATACGGGTGGGCCTCATGGAGGAGGTAGGACTCGAAAAGGATGCTGAGGAAGCATTGGCATTAGAAGAGCAGAGAGAAGGGGCAAAGGCTGACCCCTGGCCCCAAGGAAGTGGAGGGCCAGTTAAAAAGCCCTCCTGGTAGGCGACGAGACTGGAGAGGTCTGCTTGGCCAGGCTGTGCTGCACCTTTGCATTCTGTGACTGCAGTCTACCTTGATCCTCTTCCATGTCCTTGCTGTGTAAAGGGTAACACGAACAGATCCTGAATAAGTATAGTTGCATGCCAAGTTGTATTTGGGAAGGTTACCGTGGTCCCACTGGGTGGAAAAGATGAGAGACTGCAAGAAACTAGAGGCGACAAGTTAGGAAGCAGTTATCTAGGAAAACAATGAGAATTTCAGGAATTTAGATGGGATTGCTATTGCCCTGTGGTTTTAGATTCCAGAACTACACAAACAGAAAGGATGGATTTTAAAATATGACTCCCCCGGCAAAAAGGAAAATGACCACGTCAAGGTTTCACTTGGGAGTGACTGAAGATGGACATCTGGTGTTCCCATCAGACTTCTTCCTTGGTTAGTCCACCCCTGCCTGGTCCCACATTTCCCCTCCCTGCCCTTGTTTGGGTATTGGAGCTTCGTGTTTACCGTCAATCAACAATCAACAAAGAAATGCTTCCCTTTAACAATGTAGCAAAGACTAACAAGACTGGCTTGCAGCTGACTAGTTCTGGGATTTCTTGTCCAGAAGGAGCCTCCCTCAAATCATCCTCTTTATCAAAGCCCTCCACGTGGGTGGTGCTGGTTTTAATGAACCATCTCTGTTCAGCAAATTGTTGCTATGTAGCAAGTAACACATCTGATTGTCAATGCCAGTTAAGACGCTAAGCCCTCTGTGTTAGGGGACAAACCCAGAGACACCTGCGCTCCTCCCCAGCTGGGATTTTTCTCACCAGACTGAGCTTGAGCCTTTTGCAGAGCTTCATCTGGGATGTGAGTGTCAAGAAAGCCACTGTGTTCAGGTTGTCCTTGAGAATTTGCTTCTATACTCCGGCAAGGCCTGGGAACAGAGCCTCCCTAGAAACGAGAAGTGGAGATCTTTGGAGAAAAACTAACTTCATGGGTAAAACTCTGTTTTCCTTTAAAGGATTCTGGTCATTCTGTTAGAAATTAAGCGAGAGAAAAATAGATTATGGTTGCTAATATAGGCCCCAGGCATCTTGATCCTTTTTCCTCTGTTAGATTTCTTGAAATCTCTCAGATGGTAGCAGATGCCTGTGTCCTAAACTGAAATTATTTTTCTCTGGGCCAGAATACTCTTAGGAAATCCTAAGACATCCCATGAGCATTGACTAGAAAAGCTCATGATGCAGTGTTAGATACTTTCAGTTGTAACATGTTTTTTAATGTTGTGTTTATGTAATTTTCTTTCCTAAATGTACAATCTGCTTGGGCTGGGTGTGGTGATGTGTGCCTGTAACCCCAGCACTTTGGGAGGCTGAGTTGTGAGGATTGCTTGAGCCTAGGAGTTCAAGACCAGCCTGGGCACAGAGACCTCTGTTCTAAAAAAAGAAAAGAAAAGAAAATATTAGCCAGGCATAGTGTTGTGCACTTGTAATCTCAGCTACTCGGGAGGCTGAGATTGAGGGATCACTTGAGCTCAAGAGTTCAGGGCTGCAGTGAGCTGTGATCAAGCCACTGTACTCCAGCCTGGGCAACAGAGTGAGACCCGGTATCAAAAAGAAAAAAAAACTAGAATCTGTTTGGAAATGAAAAAAAAAAAAGTGAAATACATAAGTTAGCATCATTGGCTTTAAAAAAAACCAACCATGATCACTGGCTTTGGGGAGAGGGTTAGTAAGTGTGTTAAATCAAATGCCACTCATTGGTGCAGGTTTGGTTTAGGTTGCTTCTTCTTTATAAAACCTTCCCTGAATAGGATGGCCCACAGTCACCTCTTCTCTGGGCTACTGTAGAAGTGATAGTTCTATACAATTTAGTCCTTCATTGTAAATGGCCTTGCATTATTCACCACTGTATGTGCTGTTCCCGTTTCCCTAACCAGATGGTAAGCTATCTTAGAAAGCATGGCTCCCACTAGACTTTATATGTTTGTTTGTTTAAGATTGGGTGTTACAATGTTTCCCAGGCTGGTCTTGAACTCCTTGGATCAAGCGATCCTCACACCTCAGCCTCCTAAAGTGCTGGGATTACAGGTGTGAGCCACTGTGCCTGGCCTTGGTAGACTTCTTATTTCCTAAAATCGAGCTTCCTTCTGAGAACATAGTATCTGAAATACACTGGATGAAAACACTGAGCATGGAAGTTGGGCTCATTTCAGATCTGGCTCTGGGTCTTCACTACAGGAAGAGCTCAGGCTTAGTGTGACTCAGGCCTTGCTATGAGGAGAAGCTGTGTCATGATAAAGTCAATCACTTGTTATTGACAGCCATGGGTGGCAGTGGATATCTGGTTAAGAACAAAGGCCTTTCTTGGGGTCAGCAAACCCGGGCCCAGATCTTACTTTTCCCACTTACTAGTTGTGTGGCATTGGACAAGTTATTTTACCCATTCTTAGCTTCCTCATGTATAAAATGGAGATCAAAATAGTACCTACCACTTAGCATTTTTTTTTTTTAGAAAATAAGTTACATAGAACCATATGCCCCACTTCCCCAGCTGGGTATGTAAGTAATGTAATTCCACTGGCTACACTGTCAGTTCAGCGCCTACATTCCCAGATCAGGAACGTTCAGAATCCTTTCCTTCCTTGTGGACCCCCTTCCAAGGCCCCACCTGGATACCCAGAGGTCTCAAGAGTCAGTTTTGGATGTTGACACCCCGCTGGGCATTCCAGCCTCCCCAGATGCCTTCTGCTGTAATCATGTTGCTGCCAGAGCCCGATGGTGCTGCTAAATCCGCTGCAGCTTGGCGAGCCATAGCAGAGCCCCTGCCACTGTTTGCCCAGGTGTGGCTCCTCAGGCCAGGAGGGAGGCTATTTCTGGGTTGCCAGTGTGTAGCTTTTTTTTAAAATTATTTTTTGAGACACAGTCTTGCTCTGTTACCCAGGCTGGAGTCTAGTGGCACAATCTCAGCTCACTCTAACCTCCACTTCTTGGGTTTAAGGAATTCTTCTGCCTCAGCCTCCCAAGTAGCTGGAACTACAGGTGTGCACCACCACACCTGGTTACTTTTTTGTATTTTAGTAGAGACAGGGTTTCCCCATGTTGTAGGCTGGTCTCAAACTCCTGAGCTCAGGCAATCCGACCGTCTCAGCCTCCCAAACTGCTAGGGTTACAGGTGTAAGCCACCGCACCCAGGCACTGGTGTGTAGCTTTTTAATAGAACTTCCCATGGCTGCTTGGGTTTACTTTGAGTCAAGAGCAATAATAAATTCATATATTATCCCCTAATGTGTTTATGGAGACTAACAGGGAAGACACTTCAGCTAAAAGTGTGATCTGGCCTAAGGTAAAAACGTTTCAACTGGGTCTTTGTGTAGGTGGAGTGTGGCCTTGTTTGAAAAGATTAATAAGGATAGGCCAGCTTTCTATGCACTGAAGGCCTATGGGGGATGGTTTTGAACACACACACAAAAAACGAACAACAACAGTTTGTTTCTATGTTGCTTAAATGCAGGTAGGGGAATCATTATAGACCACATGGCATTCAGGCACAATGTTTGTTTCCCTTAAAATTGGGAAGTTTGTGTGTGTGTTGCAATAGTTGACCACCAGCCTGAGGAGGCATAGCTTTGCCTCGCACAGATGGCTGGCCTTGGAAGACCAAACCTGGAGTACCCAGACCTATTCTGGGCTGTCTTGTGGAAATGCCTCAGTGTTATTCTAGACTGAGTCTCCTGGACAGACGGGCCATGTTGGTTGGCCGACACACATGACCAAAGCCTTTGCCACTTACTCTGTGGTTAAAATGTGAAAAGAAGGTCAAAAGGTAGTATCACAGGCCAGGCATGGTGGCTCACACCTGTAATCCCAGAACTTTGGGAGGCTGAGGCAGGAGGATCATTTGAGTCCAGGAGTTTGAGACCAGCCTGGACAACATGGTGAGACCTCATCTCTACTGTAAAGTTTAAAAAGTTAGCCAGGCCTTGTGGCACGCACCTATAGTTCCCACTGCTCAGGAGGCTAAGGTGGGCAGATCACTTGAGCTCAGAGGTCGAGGCTGCAGTGAGTTGCTACCATACCCCTGCACTCCAGTCTGGGTGATGGAGGGAGATTCTGTCTCAAAAAGAAAAAAAAAACCCAGAGTAATATCACCGTGTACATGTCCTGATAAACTTCCTGCTTTCTGCTTCGGAGGACTGAGGAGGAATTGGCAACAGAGAATCATGCAGCAGGAAGAATCCATGGTTGTACCTATAAAGCAGCCTTTTTAATTGGGTGGGTGGGGTGGGTTGAGAGTCTCAGAGACCTGGTTCTACCCCGCTGGTCTTCTGTCACACTGGTTTCTGTGATCTTGAATGAAGGGACATGGGACTTCTCCTGAGTTGGATGACCAGTGTGACTGATTTTCTGGGCCCAGCTTGTGTGGATTGCTAGGACAGAGTGAGAATGAGAACAAATTGTGCAGTAAGGTGGACTGTAGCAGGAGCATAAACAAAAAGCCCTAGCTGTTGAAGTGCCTTCCGACAGAGGTGGCTTAAATTCCCCTTCCCCAGCAACACCATCTACAGGATGGAGTAACACACAGCCGTATGTTTCCACAGACCAAGGGAAGGCTAACCCCTATGAATAGAAGACAGGTTGTCCTAGACATAAACCTTCCTAAGGGTTCCTCCCTAAGAGAAGAATGGAGAAGAATGGCCCTCAAGACAGGAAGCCGAATTACGAATTGGGGTGTGAATTATGTAAATTTCGTTTTCCTTTTCCTTGGACTCTGGAAATGGCCAAATTTAGTGCCAAGTTTTAAGCTTTTCTCCTGTGTGTTACATCCTCTAGCCACCCCAAGTCCTTCACTAGCAACTATTGACATCTGCAGCCTGGTGTGATGATGATGTTATGGGGAAATGAGGGACAGAGCAGAGCTGGCCATGGGAGCTGTGTTAGTCCATTTTCTGCTGCTATACCAGAAACCACAGTGCAGGTAATTTACAAAGAGAAAAATGTTGATTTGGCTCATGGTTCTAGAGGCTGGAAAGTCTAAGAACATGGCACTGGCATCTGGCAAGGGTCACCCCATGCAGCGGGGCGGAAGGCATGAGTGTGTGAGATACAGAGTAAATCAAGCTGAACTCATCCTTTTATCAAAACCCGACTTCTGTGATAACTAACCCATTAATAACAGCTTTAATCCATTCATAAGCACAGAGCCCTTATGTGATAACTAATCCATTAATAACAGCTTTAATCCATTCATAAGCACAGAGCCCTTATGTGATAACTAACCCATTAATAACAGCTTTAATCCATTCATAAGCACAGAGCCCTTATGGCCTAATCGCTACTTAAAGTTTCCACCTCTTAATACTATCACAATAGCAATTGAATTTCAACATGAGTTTCAGAGGAGACATTCACACCATAGTAGGATCATAGCTTGCTCCATGTCACCCTGCTATGAAGCCAGCAGCAGGTCAGGGCAAGCCAAGGATGGAAGGAATCCATGATATAGAGGAGCATGACCTGACTATGAACAGGCATATGTATATAAATACAGATATATCTGACAAATACAGCAGAGGAAGGAGCCCTTGCTGGGGAAAGAGGCGAGCACTCTGTAAGGTTAATGGGAATCTATTTCCATTTTCTTTTGGGCAGCCCCTCTTCTAGGGAGGAAGTCTATATTCCCAAGTCCTGATGGCAGAGTTAAAGCCTCACAGGTCTGAATAGATATTCCCCTTGTATACTCAACTTTTGGTGGAACAGCTAACCCACTGATCCAGTGAGCCTCTAATCTCATGGTGAATTATTTAAATCTGGGAATCCTAAGTCTTATTTTGAGTACCCTCATCCATCTAATATCTTTTAATAATTTTGAATCTCAAAAAAGAAAGGAATTGTCCTTATATAAAAGTTGGTATGTAAACAACTGGTTGTAAACAGGTTGGTGGGTGAACAAGTGGTAATTTATATACTATTAATGTACTATACACATCAACAGTAT